AGTAATTTGTGTGAACAATACCAACAACATGGTTGAATTTGTCTGTCCAACGCCTACCATGATGGTACCAATTCAAATGTTTCAGGTTCTTCCAGTATAGCAATGTCTGCTTCCTTGGATGGAATGAACTGAGAAGTGTCTCCAGCAGGTATAATACTTCGCCTTTCTTTTGAAAACTAAACACAAGAAGGACAAATACCTCAGAATTGACTGTAATTTAAGTTGATACAAGGTGGCATATTGCTAACTTCATATAAGAATTACCTTCCCAGGATAAAAGGAAACTTTAAAGTCTGGCTTGAAACCAATCCTTTCCTCAAGCCAATTCCGTATATAACTTCCTGCTCTTCTGGTGAACTGAAAGTGAGATTGCCAGGATAAACTAGTTCTTGATCTGACTTACAAAGCCACGGAACCAGTAAAGTAACTTTTTGCTTTGCAGATTGTGATAGATATGCTGCTCGAAATAGTGGATTCACAGCTGTTCCTGTCATCCAAGGAAGACTGGCAGTTGTAACTATTGCAACATGTCTTTCAGTGCCTGATGAATCATGCTTTGAATGTTCTGCCCAGAGCCCACCATCATATCGGTGCCCTGTGCTCTGAAGGACACTTGCTATTCGCAAATCCAAGTCATCATTTATATTTCCATTCCCAAGAGCAGAAGATTCTTCCCCAGATAGGGACTGCAGAAAATGTTGGTTTTTTGCGTTTGCTATACAAGCTTTCCACTATCTTGTCACATATCTCTGAAATCACATTTGAACAAACTATCAAATTCACAAAATGAACTCTACATTAAATAAAAGAAACAGAGAACAGCTGACCAATACATACTAAAGGAATACGACTTCCATTAAACATGTATAAAACTGGATAAAACATGACAAATAATTCCCAGGTGGATTCTGTACCTCTTCTGACTCCAAGTTGATCCAAAAATGGCTCAGATTGCCTAACAAAACTGGCCAAAAGTTCAGGCACATCCAAAGGTGGCACTTCCTGCAACAAATGTTAAAGGGAAAAATATTAAACACAGTACTTGATCTAAAACATGGGCTCAGGTGCAGAAATACAAGCATCAATTTAAAGGCATGCCAATGAAGCAAGTAAAATTATGTTCAACCACAATATATCACTCATTTCCTCTTGATAGTATTGATCAAAATACTCACTATACACAGCGGTCTAACTGAAGAAAGTTAGAGCCTCCAGACAAAAGTTTATGTTTCTTTACACACTGACAAAGTGGATAATATCATAGCAGGCAAGTTTATAAAACCAAGGGTCAATAAAGAAGTTTGTCAGAAACCTTTGACTCCTGAGGCTCCATGCACATCGATTTCTGCAAGAAATGAAGATATCGTATCTTAGAATATAAGTACAAATAAAATTTATGATCAAATGTGAAACGTGCATATAGTCACTTTAAAATAATAACTACTAAATATGAAGATATAATAAAAGTTATCCACACATCTGAGCTTAACTCTTAATTCCTTGATACAATGCAAACAGCAATGCAACACATAAAAAAAAAAAAAAAACAGCAATTATATCATTGTTTGCAACTTAAATTGGGAATATTTTATAGGCCCACCATTGAAAACAATGTAAAAGAAGAGTGCTGATAGTCTCTTGCTGCATCGTATAGAAAAGCTTAGTTGCAGAATTAAGCCACATGTTAGCACCAAGTTTGACTTTAGGTAAAAATCGAGGAAGAGCAAAGCTGAGAGGCAAGAACACCAAGCTCCATCGAGTGGATATGTAATACCAATTAGCTTCATTAAGGCTTGATTCAAGCATACCCAACCAATAAATCTGGTCTTCAGACAGAATGGCTTTTTTCTGGCAAAGTCCCCTAGATACAATACAACTCCATGCAAAATGTCCGAACGAAACTTTATCATTGTGAATAACAAAATATGTGTATGCGCGTGTGTGAGCGCATACGTAACCCACCAAGAAAAATAAAAATGAATACGTAGCTATAGAGTGTGCTTAACACATGTCAAATTAGGAGAATGAAAACCTTAAAACTGGTCCTAGAAAGATTTATTTTCCCCTAAAGGTGGCACTTGCCCAGATAGTATCAAATATCAAGTTATCTTTAACAAGAAAGCAACCAATATGCAATTCACGCTCAAAGTACGCATAAAAAAACTGAACCACTAGCCTTTACCATGAAACTGCACAATCTAAACTATGTTATAGTGGGGAAACAATGAATAACAAAGCAAGAAAAACGTACCAAGCCCAATTTTAGTTTCTCCACAAATTCGCCATTCTTGAATCCATCAAAAATCTCTACGGACGACCTCCGTTTCTCGAACTCTTTTAACGTTGTCTTCAAGGCACGAATTGGCTCCCAATCCCTAGCGGACTGCCCTTCCCCATCCGCTTCACCCTCTCGTTTCCACTCCCCCCAGAACTCCCTAAAGTTCAATCTCCTAGCTCTCTTACCCCTATCAAAATCAAGAATTTCATCCCCATCCTCAACCTCGGAAACAATTGCATTCTTTATCGCCGACAAGTCGATCCGAATCCTCGACCTGGGCCGCCACTTCTCGAGAACCTTCTTACTGAAATCAGGTGAAGAATAGGCTCGTCGAATTTCAGACAGCTTGGGCTGCAACTTCTTTACAAAATCAATCTCGGCCTGTGGGGAGGCCCGCATGGTCGGAACGGAAAACGGGGAAGCCGAATTGAAGAAGTTCTCCAGCTCGCGGTCGAAAGAGGTAGCAAGTTTCTTGAAGGAGTTGGCTCGGTCTCGCATCAATTGGAGATCGGCATCAGCAGAGTCTCGAACATCCCGCCAGCCCTTGGAGATGAAGGAAAACGCGTTGGAAGACGGGGAAGTTTGACTCTGGGTGGCCATGCCAGGACCTGAACTAGAAAGTATGCAAGCGAGGAAAGAGCTTTTCGTGGTTCGTGTAGAATTGAGAATTCAGTAGTCCTGAAAAATAGAGGTAATTGCTGGGAACGCGAGCAACGCTTAACAGTTGCTACAGGAAGTGGAAGAAGCGAGAAAGAAGTATCAACGGTTTAGAATTTTAAGGGTGACGTGGATAAGAATCCCTTGAGGTGCTGATATGGTGTTGTTCTATTGGGTAGCGTAGTTTCGCGCTAAAGGGTCCATATTCGCCTTGGGAGAATAATAGAATATGCTCGTTGGGACTCGGGTGTAATACAGATCCGGAAATGGAGTCGGTTCGGGTGCGTGGCCGCAGCACCACGAAGTGTGCTTTTTTTTTTTTTTAGCAATAGTACAACGAAGTTGCAAGTAAGACAAAAATCTTGATTCCATCCAATTCAGTCCAACTCAGAAAACAACCCGATCTGGTCCGTTTCAGATGAAAAATGGTCTTTCAAGATAAAAAAATCAGATTCTTTCTTTGAGCTAGACTAGATAAGAAATTAAGTATCTAGACAATTTAGTCTAATTCCATAAATTTATTTAATAAAATTATAATTGATTTATTAATTATTATAATATGTTAATTTATAATAATAATTAATAATTTTTTATGTTTTATATTCATGAAGTCATGTATATTGAACACAATTTCAACATTAAGTAACCTCAATCCTCTCTTTTTATTGGTAAAATTTATTATTAACTTAATGTAATGAATTTCAGACATGCTGAAGGTTGTTTAATTTGAATCCTTTATGTTATAACTGAAATACTTTTGTTGTTAGAAATTATTATAAATTTATAATTATTGTCATTGTGATAAATTTTATATGATTATAAATAATTTTATTATGTTAATTGAGTTTATTAGGTTGAAATAAATTTTTGCCTTTCATAAATGAAAAGGGAGAAAAACAAAGCTGGACAATGCTGGAATCGGTCTCCTAGTCTAACAAGATCAATTCAACCCTATTTAGCTTCGGATTATATTAAAACTAGATTAGACCATAAATTTTTTAACTCAATCTTTTTCATGAAAAAAGACCAAATTTTGGACCAGGTCAAAGTCCAATCCAGTCTCTCCTTTGTGCAGCCCGATAGTTGTTGAGTTCCAATTACTACTAAGTTTTTTTTTTTAATTATCCAAGACAAAAATTCAACTTCAATTTGATTTTTGCGTGTACTTCACGTTGGTTGTTTACCATGCAACTAGTGCTCTGGTTGATTATCTATTAGCGTGAACGCCTTCTTAGTCATGTGATTAATAAAATTCAGCTTTTGAATATTTTGTGGATTTGACTTGGACAACCATATTTTATTTTATATATCTAATATAATTTATAAATTATGAATAATAAGATTCATTCATCTTAAAAAGATTCATCCGGCGCATTAAGGAAATTTATTTTTGTAAATGATAAGGCTAATTATGCAAACTATTATGTTAAGCTAATATGTTTCATGAATCAAGACACAATTGGTTATCAGAAATTTACTTTTGGGAGAATGCGCGTCAGCCTTAAATTTAAAAGGAGTCAGCAACTTGACCCAAACACGGCGTAACAATGGGTACGAACTGGTACAAACGAGTGATCCACAAGTGGAAGCGAAATGAGCATGACACTTGAAGACGAACAAGAACCAAACAAGCCTCCCTTATTTTTCGGCTGCCGATCAAACTCCTGGCTTCTGGGATCTCATTGGAAGCTAATGAAGATATTTGAAGGACCAAGCAACCCAATTTCTCTCCCCCCCCCCCTCCTTCTTTTTTTCCAAGCCATGGCCCAGTGGCTCGCCGCTGCCCCATTCCCTCTCAGTGGAGCACTGTCTATGTGAACCCATCACCCTTTGTCCTGTCTAGCTTATCTTGTATTCATGCCGCGGTTCCACAACACGTGTCATCATCATCATCATCATTTTAATTAGAGGCTTAAGCTTGAGGCTAGAATCTAAGAAATAAATTTCATGGTCCATTTTCGAGGAACAAAAACAAGTGAATTATACCATATGAGCCATCGAAAGACAACCGTCGGACTCTGTCGAGCCTCACAACAAGTGACTTTGATAAGTCTTGAAACAAGGGTGAGGCAATTGGAAACAAATTTCGAAAACCTTGCACGAAAGAACTTCGGACTTTACAAACGAAATCTTTGATTTCCCCAGGATATAGTAACAACATAATACTTGCTATATGCTAGTAAAGTCAGACACAGGATTCGCTGCTAGGGGGAGCAAAATTTAATAGAGATCCCTATCTTTCTCTTGTAAATATTTAGGCGCCGGCACAGACAAATACCGTTTACACAAAAATGGAATAGAATGTTCAGTCAGTAGATAACAAAGCTCAGACGGCCACGTAGAGGTCAAGTCGGTACTCAGATCCTCCTTACTACCTCAAACGAGCAAAACTGCATTTATACAACCGTCATTTTCAGGATTATTTGTCACCTGGGCATATTTACCTGCATTATCACAAACACACAACCACCGCATTAATTTTAGTAAAATTGTCAGCAAGAGGCCAAAAGACATATAGATAACACTGATAGTCTTACCCCATACAACTTTCCCAGCAGGGGTGACCAGACCAAGTTCGCTCACATTCACCTGAAATTCAAATTAACAAATCGAATGAGTAATGCTGTTACTATCGTTTCTCACAATCCTAACCAGCGAAAGCAGGTTTACAAAACGCCAAGCTGGGATAACAAAAGACAGCTAGATCCGATAGTGACTCCATTATATCGAAAAGAAACCTCCAATTAGATCGGAGAATTTTACCTCAATGATAGTTCCCTTGGTCATGACACCAAGGGAGGTGTACATAGGACCATTTGGATTTTTCTTCACTCCAATTATCTCCAGATTGAAGGTACATTTTAGTTCTGGATGAGTCACGTGAGCTTTAGTGAACCGCAATCCCGTAGGACGAATGAAACGCTCATATTTTGGAGGTTTTCTAGTAAAACCAGGCCCAACAAATGTAGCTTTTGTGACCATCCTCTTCCATTGCTTAGCTGCAACATGATAGGTTATAATCCGTCATATGCATATCTAGCAGGCGAACAAATCATTACACATCTTGTTTAATGTGAGATATAACATTATATATCCTAAAATAAACTGCATCAAAAGACTAAAGATCATAGACATACATTAGAAGGAGAACAAGAACTTGTTGAAAAACAGCAAATTTACAGAAAAATACTGAGTAGACAAATACGAAAATATTATTATAGTTCAAAATAACTTCCTTATATTCACCCCAAAAAAAGGGGGGGCGAACTCTACCATTTTCAACAGATTGCACCAACTGAAATCAAATATTTTGAAGTTAGAAATTTAAGTCAAATTATCATCAACATAAATAACTAAACCATTAAAAGCCCGGAAGGCAATATATTACTTACTTTTTCTTTTGCCGGATCTGACCACTTTGAACATCTCATCTTCGGCCACTGGACGCACCTAAACCGAAAAAGAAGCATGTAACCAGTTATTAGTTGCAATTAAAGCCCCCTACCCCCAACTCACACAAAACACGCTGGATTTGAGGGAAAATAAAAACTCGATATATTGTTTGACATTTTGGAGCAAAAGATTGAAAATGATCTCACCTTAGGTAGAGGAACATCCCATTTCCCAGCCTTTTCCTTCCTTTTTTGCTTAATGGTGTTGCTAAGAACCTAATTTTTTTCCCCCAAAAAAAAAAAAAAACTGTCAGATCATCTTACATAGAATTCAGAGGAATCAAATCGATCTTTTGAATACAGCATGTGGTGAGTGAAATTAACCTTTGCTCTGGTCGTATTCTCACGATCAAGAAGATATGCTGGAACAGCTCCATCGTGAACATCATCATCAACCTTGCGCCTGGATGTTGACTCTTCATGCATGGCCAAACTGTTGATAGATGATGGTGAATTTATATCTTACAGAATTTGAAAACAGTGGGGAAAATGGTGAGATAGCACTATGCTAGCAGTATAACATTAACCAATTGCTCTAAATAATCATAAAATTCAAAAAATAAATAAATGCCTCAACCACGAACTTGTTCTGGTACCCACACACACCATACACACATTGCATATCATGTATGAAAATGCTGCAGGACCCATCTATGATAAACCTATGAGAAAGCATGAATTTCCAAATGCTTACGTATGACATTCAAATCAAATGTTTATAATTAAGTTTCCAATTACTTGGGAAATTAAGGTGTTCACATACTAAACACTAGCACACTACTACCATATTCTTTCCTTTCCTTTACTATTCCTTCCAATTACAAGGCAAAGCAAAAAGAACCCAACGGAATTCCAAAAAGTAAAAACGAAGGCCACAAGGAAGAGGGGGTTGGGACTTGGGAGGGAGCATAAGGGAGAGAAGCAGCATTCAGCCATGAAATAACACTTATAAGGAAATTTTATGAGGAGACGGACACGTTTGTTGACTGATACGACATTCCAATGAGTTTGGTATCGCGTTTTAAACTAATTTGAAGAGAAAAGATTTAAGAGTGAAATCTGAATACAGTTTGAAGTAATAACTCACGTTTTGGCAAAATAAAAATAAAAATAAAAATAAAAAAACAAGAACAAGAAGTAATAACTCACGTCTTCTTCATTTGAGCCTTTTCGGCATAATTTTTCTTGGCAATCATCTTGCCCTTGATGCCCAGAGCCTGTTCCACTCGAATTCGCAGAGGGACATAAGAATAATGGAAACACAAATAAAGCTGGTAAAAATGAAGGGAATTGAAATCTTAACAAGGGGAAAAAAAAACAGTACACGACCTTCTGAGCGATAGCAGAGCGCTTGTGAACCTCACGAGCCTCTTTCTTGCGTTTTCGCTCGAAATGGTCCAGACGATAGCCATGACGCTTTCTGTGGAGTTCAATGTAATCCCCTTGCGGCTACAATAAAGAAAGAAGAACGGAACAGAAATAAAACTAGAATCAGTAGATGAATGATATGTTCAAGCCGTGAAGGCTGCGCGATGAAGTTGGAAAGCAGACCATGATGACGGCGGCGAATCCCTCAGATCAGTCCCAACAGAGAGACGGCGATCGAGCTGAACCTAATTACCGGGCATATAAATCCCCCGTTTTTTCCCGGATTGATTTTCTTTGGGCTTTACAAGGTAACAACAGTGAAACTGGGCTTTTGATAATATACTGGCCCAATAACAAGGTTGGGCTGAAAATTTGTTCTTTAAAAACTGGACCCGAGCTTGAATCTTGATGATGGGAATGTGGACTTGGGCAAAGTCAATGTGAGAACCATGCTTTAGGTGGAAACAAAAAACGAGCATTCGTTGATGGTCTTTGTGCCACTTTCGCTCAGATGAGGGTTATTCAATGTAAACACTTTGAACACCTACCTTACAACGGTCATCTATGGATCGAGAGACGTGTAAATGATAGAGTGAAAGGATGATCTGGTCAAATGTTGAAAGTAGGTTAAGATTTGTTGGTTTGTATGGAATATAATTTAAGTACAGGGCCAGTGAGCGTGGGGCGAGTGGGAGCATGGGAAGAGAGGAGGGCAGAGGAAGAAGTGCTAATTCTAAATCAGTAAATCTATATGGTACTGTAGTGATGTACTTGTGCTTGCATAATGACAGCGTGACAGCCTAGCTTTGCCTGCTGATAATTGGCACGAAAGTTAAGTCGCAACAAGCCACCAATCATCCATACGGATTCAATAATTGATGATCTCGCGCCCCATCGCTCCATGGCTGTTTTCTCCATCTCGGTTATCCGTTTCCTCCCTCCTTATATCATTTGTAGGAGGGGACCTAATGTTGTTAACCGTCCACTGTACAAGACATGACCACATTCTTTTGTCACTTCAAATATATGTGCACGTCTTCAAGCTTCCCATTGCGCCGTTTTCAACAGTTACTAATGTTGTGTGTTTCGAAGGTGCTCTCAGCAGAACCACTTTTCACTCAGTAACCACAGAGTGCACTGTACACACAAAAAATGAGTGCTAATATAACTCTGCCCGGCTTACGGTTAAGGAGGTCGGAGGAGGGGTCCACCTTCCACGGAAATAATAGCAGCCTCCCATTTTCAAAAGACCTTTTGACTGGGGGAGATAGGCACTGATGAAGACGGGGACTTTCGGTTCCTACATTACACATTGACAGTAAAAACCGTAGAAAAAGTTGTCTGGGGATTAGGGATTAGGGGATTGTCCCTCTCATGATGGGGCCGAGGGTAGATCATAAATTAATAGCCTACTAACAAACGCGCTCCAGGGTGATTGCATTGAAGTTTCTCTTGGTTTTCAAATTATTACCGGAAGCTTTCTGTTTCGGTACTCAATATCTAATCTCATCACTCGGTCAATGATCCAAGCATCACGAAACCCACATAACTTGATCACAGACATTAGCCTGATCCCAGACTAAACTCGTGTCCTTTCCTCTCCCTTCATATCCGCACAGTAATTTTGTCTTAGCGACCAGGTACTATGATCCTCGATGCCACAAATGGTGGCGGGTAATATAAATAATGCAACGATTCTGAGCTCTTTCTCGGAGATTGCGATCTACCGGATATCTTGTTAAAAATTTGATCCCCCCGAAATTAAAGCGAAAAGATTGATTAATCATTAAATAAAAATAAAAAAAATAAAAGGCGAGAGGTGGGCCTGCAACTTTTGACTAATACAGCCCAAAAACATATATACTGCGTTGTTACTGATAAACTCATCAGGCATTAGGAAGAAACAAAAAGCATGGCACCAGATATGGGGCCCGACGTGGTCTGTGGTGTGTGCCTCCCTCCAAAACCAGCTTTTCCAGCATGGCATGGCCCCTCTTCCTTCCCATATCTTTGAATCATTGCACTGTTCACACTCATGACTGGTTCTACGTGCCACCCCCACCCCACCACCTCTCCTCTTCAATATTTAATCTCTTAAACCCCTGAAATTTTGTAAAAAATATACAATACGCTCTTGCCCGTGGATAGACACGTACCCCACAATTTTTGGTATGTTTGTTTGCTGAGGCCTCGTCATTGGTTCTATCCTATGCGTCCAATGCCACATCGTATATGGATCAATGAACCTGGAAAGCAACTAACTAGTGTTTTTTGAAAAAAAAAAAATCTCGTAAATTAAAAATAACAAAATTAAATACACGACAGTTTGCCACGGGTTCGCTTCCTGGTGATGGCACCAATTTCTTATTCTTCTAGAAAACACATTTTCTTTTCAACTTGCTAAATGATGTGGGTCACCGATTCGAATATAAGAGTAGTCACTCTCTTCACCAGCTTTCTCATAACCCATATTTTATTTACCGGGTCATTCAAAAATCATAGCCTACTTTTATTATTGTGATCCTGCAAATTATTTTAAATAAAACATGATTTGATGCCGCCTGTAGCTAATTTTCTATGGACTATTTGTTTTGCTTGTGTTTTTTTGTTTGTAGTGATAGAATTGGATGCATGCACGGAATTGTAGGTGGTGAGGCCAATTCAGCCACCGACATGAATATATTCGTTCGAACTCGCCTGATGATTTCGTTTTCTCCAACTCCGGCAAATTAACATTTTCTTTGTAGGATTCGTGTGATATTTGACTATTTTCCATTATCTAGGTTATGCGTTAGGACTAATTTGCAATACGTGCTTGGCATTCATCCAATGGATCTCGTTTTGACCATTACTCATTAATTGAACAAACATGCACGGAAACAGCTGGATTGCAATAATATTCTGTGTTGCTGCTTCAACTGCGTAAGTTCCTTCTATCACCATTGGCGAGTGCTTCAAGAAAATCAGCCCTTTTATTTTTCTTGGTCGAACAAGAAAATTAATCTTGAATGTTATTCCAACATCGCATGTTATATATCAACCGTGTACTTTACTTGTATCATTTTATTAACCTTGACACCTTGTCTTGACTTTCGGGATTTGATGACTGTTTAAGCATATCGCCATTCAAAGTTGTGAAGATAAAAATTCCCCGGAAAGACTTTTATCATAAGGATAGATGCACTAGGACAGCTGTTATATATATATATATATAGTGAATTAATCAACAATGGCAATCTTTATAAGAAAACTGGAACAACCATTTAAACAACATGTTGATTCGCACTTTAAATGTCAATAATCGATCATAGATAGATTGATACATTTTGAATAAAAAAATGATAAAATCTAAATTTAAGAAATAATTATAATTAAAAGAAAACAATATCCATCAATACTCCATTTCCAATACACACACTTATCCATACATAATTCATAACTTTAAAAAACAAGATAAGTGACTGGTTCAACAAATTTAGCTAATGGTTTTGCTATGTTTAAAGCTGGTTTTACCAGCTCTCACTTGTCAATTTAATATATCGCATGACAAGATTGGACATGTTCAACTAGCCTAACTGGCCAGTCAAATCCAATTCACCAAACACTATCAACCAATCATCATATCTCAGGTGGCATGATTTTTCTTCAAAGCAAATAGTTGATCTCATTTTATTATATGTCAAGCGTATCTTTACTCTGAATGAGAGATGGAACCGGAGATTATATTCTGAGAAAAGAAATCACGGAAATGCATGATCAAGTAGCACCAGTTGTGATAAATGCATATACTTCTAAAAATCGATCACTTAGCTTGGATTAGATTCGACTCTTAAAGTTACTTTACCGTCCCTCTTAAATTATTGTCTCTCATCCAAAACAAACATCGAAGTGACAGCTTATTCAATGGTTTGCATGTAAAATCAAATCCAAGCTCCTCTGGAATTCCATTAATCTTTCGTCACTTGCATTTTTCAAAAAACAATGAACGAATGATCGAAAAGATGATGGAAATAATTAATGAATGCATGAATATTATTATTACTATTAATGTCGTTGTTGTTGCTACAAAATGAAGGACAACGCATCAATCTAATTCCCACCATTTATAATGTAACATCCATCGCATTTTTTTTGTTGTGATTATATATTACTTTATTTTTATCCTTACCTTGTTTAACAAGATATATGATTCTTATTTTTTTCATCGCATTTTCATTTTATTTCTCCATCTTAAAGGCTCAGTAAACAATTACTTATTTATTATTATAAATATCATGATTAAAACATATATAATTAATATATGAGAAGTCACGTTATTGATAAGTCGTGAATCGGAAAACTTATCTCAAATTATCTGTAATTCGCACACAATTCACGTTTAATTTAGTTGTACGAGAAAAGAACCGGCAATTGGCTAGCTTTTCTCCCGCCCCCCCCCCCCCAATTCGAAGTCAGCTGTTGGTATTTTAGAAAAATCTACTGGTTTTTCTTTGTTAGATTGCAATATCAAGAAACAAACGAACCCATTTTTAACATCATTTCTTAATATAAAATTGACAAAAATAGTTTTATAAAACTTGTGTATTTGTCTTACTACTCTCACCAGACAAAACAAGTTAGAGAATAGCTTTCAACCTGGCTGGAGCACATGATATAATTTATAATAGTATAAGCAACTCCTCAACCCCCTAATGATTATTGTCTCATTCTGCATCGCATATTTATTTAATTTAATATCAGGACAAAATAGGGCATGTTTGATTTCAGAAAACACTAATAAATGAATATACTCAATATACAAAATAATAAAAATCTTACAATTATAATTTTTTTTAACATCTAAAGGCTTCATAAATAAAATTAATTTTCAAAATATTTTCCACGCGATTGTCATCAAGTAGAAAAGGCTTAGCCGGCGTCCTGTGATAATGGGAACTCGACTTTTGACTTTAACTTTCTAGGGGCATCGGGCTGATCAATATAACGTTGACTATACTTTGTAATTATGCTATAGCCTATAGCTCCCGTTAAATTTTGTGTATAAACTTATAATTTATATATTGTAAAATCCATTTGAAGAGTAATTTTTAAAGCTTCATACAGAATATAGACTATGCAATAGTCTATAAAAATATAGACTGGGACGAAAACTTTTATTTGTGGAGTAAATTATCAGTTCTAAAATTTCAACGATTCAAAGTTCAGTGAACTTTTTGCAATTCTGTTGGCAGGAAATCGCAAATCTGCTGCACATGCATTTGATAAAAAATTGTCATCGTCTAGCGGCACGACCCTCTTGCATTACAATGCCCCTGCGGGCCTGCACGTTGTGATACAAATATT